CCCGCCACTCCCTTCTGTAATCACGGGAGAGGACTAACAGTCCGTTCTTGACCCCCACCCCACCCTTGCAAAGAGAAGCCATCCTCTCTGGTGGGAGGTCCCTGCAGGGCTGGATTGTGTCCTCAGGAGGCCGGGGTGGGGTGGGGGGCTGGATGGCATTTCTTTGTGTGTGTCTCTCCTGCCCCCCCTTTTGTGGTGCTGGGCAGACCCGTGTTATGTGTAAATACATAAATGACGATACAACAACACTGACGGAGGACAAAAAGGAAGATTCATTCTAATACTTTATGATGTTCCGCTGAGCCCAACTTCTTATTTTTGTAATTGCCTGGGGGGGGGGGCGTGGAGGAACCAACCTCTCATTGAACCTTTTTGGGAGTGTGGGGAGGACTGTGCTGTCTCTCCCCCCCAAAACCATTGTGTCTTATGGGTGGGGGAGGGGGAGAAGGAAGGGGGGGGTCTGTCGTGGGTAAGAAACTGTCACTCGTCGGCTTTCCTGTTTTATTGTAAAGCTTGGCCTTTCCTGAGCAGAGTTTTTAATGCTTGTTGCCTGCGCCAGGGCTGATTCTGTCAATGTGCTTGTGCAAAACTTGTGTGCTGCCTGGGAGCGAAAACAGGGCACCGGAGGGACTGTCTTCTGGTTCCTGGCTCCGACCCTCCACCCTTCCCTTTGCAGCCGCTGTGCCTACGCTACTGCATGCACAGCTCAGATGGTTCTTCGGGTGGCAGCTCCTCTGTATTACTGTGATCACGATCATGCCAATTATACTTGCTGTAATTAAATGTTCCCCCCACCCCCCGGTAAGATAGCATAACCAGGAGCTCAGCGAGGCCTGAGTTAAACCAGTCCAATAATTAGATAACAGGTATGATGTAAGAAATTATCCGGGGGGGGGAAGGGGGCGTTGCTCCACTGGTGGGGGGTGCAAAAAGAGAATCCAACCCCAGCCTTAAGTGTCATTAAAATGTTTTGTTCCCAAAGGTGTGCATTTGTGACGTTCCTTGCTCGCGTGCTGCATTTCCCTGGCTTGAAGAATTTTAGCCAAATGGCCCCTCTGTGCTGCATCTGATGGTGAAGGCAAACATTCTGGGTCAGATGGTAAAGGGCTGGATACGACGCAGTCTCAACGCCGGTGCCTTGAAAGGCTCATGGCTGGAAGATGTTAATAGCTGCTGCCTGGGAACAGGAGGAGGCGGCTGGTAAGCCTGCCTGTGCCATGCTGGAAAATGGCGGTTATATACCAGGGGTCATTTTGTAGAAAGAGGTGCAGGAGCTCATTAGCATAACTCATTTGCATGTGCCACACCCCCTGACATTACCGGAAGTGTGTCAGAAGGCAACACTCACTGCTCAGGCTCCACTGGACTGTTTTGGATTGCTAGCTGTTGGGGGGGGGGGACAATGTGCAGATCTGTGCTCGCAGAGGAGGGAGAGCTTGTACCTGAATAAAACTTGGTCTTAAAGGTGCCACTGGACTGTTTTGGATTGCTAGCTATTGGGGGGGGGGCAAACATGCAGATCTGTCCTCGCAGAGGAGGGAGAGCTTGTATCTGAATAAAACTTGGTCTTAAAGGTGCCACTGGACTGTTTTGGGCGGGGGGGGGGAGCTCTGCAACTTACCTGGCTGCTTCTTGCTCTGACTGAGGGCTGCTGGGAGCAGGGGTTGGGGCTTGTTGCATGTGCCCACCCCCTGGGCTCTTTACTGCTGGAGCTCTGCTCCTGTGCGCTCCTGCAGGAAATGACCCCTGGTTATACCCATATGACATTCATCCTCCAGGGTTGCCAAACCACACCGCCTTTATGCAAGTTAAATCCTCTGCAGGACTCTCTCAAACTGCTTGTGGCAGCACACTTGGGGTACTGGAAAGGTACTCCTGAAAAAACAGTGGCCTCTTTCATCCCTGTACTGATACCGTAGAGGCAGCAGTTCTGCCATGCGTGGGAACGAGCCTGGCTTGGAAGTACAAGCTAAAGGATATGAGCACGGATGTCTATATACTCCAGTGGACCCTTTCTACAAAATGACCCCTGCTTGCAAGTACAAGCTAAAGGATATGCGCACGGATGTCTATATACTCCAGTGGACCTGACTGGGTGGTGGGTCTCAGCTGTGTCTCTGATCCTCCTTCAGCACATCAACAACCTCTAAGGTGGTAGGAGATATCCTGGTTGTTTAATGTTGAGCAGTTAAGCGCTCAATAGGAAAGAAATGTGGCACAGCTTCGTAAGTAGCTTACCTACTCTGTATAGAACGGTACTAATGTTCTTCAGTTACCTGGTCAGAATGACTTGCTGCAAGGTGGTCTAACAAATGAAAAACGGCATAGGATGGTTACAGGTGAATGCTACGGGGGACGGGCGCCTACCTGTTTGGTGAGATGAACCCATTTTTGGCCCTCAAGCTGACGCTGCTATAGGTACCGGGGGACAACCCACCCCTTCCCACATACCCATCCTCAGTCGTGGGTGCAAGAAGAGAATGTCACGTGGGTGTCTGTTCAGGCAACAGACGGAAGTAGAGCCAAGTTGAGGAGTTCTTATTCTTCCTTTCTATCAAGACTGACCCCTGCATGAATCAGCAAACGGGCTCTGCCTTTAATTCCCTTCTATCCAGAGTAGCCGGTCTTACTGTTGTGAATGAAAGGAAGCCCAGGAGAGAAGACGTAAGGAGACAGAAGTTGGTTCAGGAGCTTAAAAAGGTAAAGGTTTCTCTTGCTTGAAAGCCAGTTGAATTTGACTCCAGGGGGCGGTGCTCATCTCCGTTTCCAAGCCGAAGAGCCCGCGCTGTCCGAAGACGTTTCCGTGGTCTGCAGCTCAGCACCTTAACCTCTGTGCTGCAGCCAGGAATTAAAACAAAGTGCTACAGGAGGGTCACAAACTGTGTGCTAAGGAAAGCAACTGAGGATTGCAGATTCAATCCTAAGACCGAGAAACTCTCTTTAAAAGCCAAATGTGCTATAGCGGCTAATGTCTGCATCCAGTAGCACAGCACCAGGCTTGCGTGGGAAAGGGAAAGTGAGTCCCTCCCAACCATGAACTTTCCGTCCTCTTTTTATCCCTAATCCTGTGTGTACTTTCCTGGAGGTTTGGAGCAAGCCACTTGAGGATACTATGATGTTTTCAAATCAGATGAGAGGGTGGGTGGGGGGAATGTATTCCTACCCTTAGTCCGAGAACACAATTGCTTCCCCTGTTACAGCCGAGGCACAGAAACTAAAAATAGGCCTAAGCGGAGCTCTTTGTCCGGAGTCCACTTCGGGCCTCACTTAGCATTAATTATTGAGCAATGGCTTGGTAATTGATGAGCCCGACAGGCAAGGAGCATTACGAAGGGCTTAACGAAGGGATGGGGTGGGGGAGAGAGTTGGTTCCCTCGGCACCCAGGATGCAAAGAGCCTCTGGAGGAGAAATGCTCAGGTTTTAAGATAAGAATTAGTCGGTGGTGGTCTCTGTGCCCCCATTTAATACCCACAGCAGTTGTAAAAACTGCTCACAAGTGCCAGACCTCTGAGACGGGGGTCCCACAGCAGGTTTTCAATGCGGGTGGGTACTTCGGTCCAGCTGCCCTTTGTTTGTATATCCCAGCTGCAGAGTATGATCAATAGTAACACTGGAGGGGGAAACTGACTGTTCCCTGGAAGGCCAGATAATGAAACTGAAGCTCAAATACTTTGGCCACCCAATGAGAAGGGAGCCCTCACTCGGGAAGACCCTGATGCTGGGAAAGACTGAAGGTCAAAGAAGACGGGGACGGCAAAGGGTGAGATGGTTGGACAGGGTCATAGATGCAACGAACATGAAATTGAGCAAACTTCAGAAGACGGTGGAAGACCGGAAGGCCTGGCGGGAGCTGGTCCATGGGGTCGCGAGGAGTCGGAGTCGACTGTGCGACTGAACAACAACTAGTGTGAGCGGAGTGCCCTCTTCTGGCTGCTTTAATCACACAGCATGCTAATCGAGAGAAGTGGTGTGTGGCAGGGATGGGTACCACACAGTCACCCTACCAGGGGCACTTGTGTGGTCTGAGAGACGGTGAGATCTGGCAGCTTGGGTGAAAACTAACCCACAGAAGCCTGCCTGCCTGCCTGCCTTGGAGACAGCAGGCAAAGTGGCAACCAAGCATGTCACTGTGATACTTCTGGACATTTCCAGGTGCCAGAGAGGGTACTGTAAAAAGGCTAGTGCCGGGTGTAACAGCACAAGGCCACTACCGGCCATGTAAGCCTCTAAGGAAGCCGACACACAGACTTGAATACAGTACTCAAGGTTGCCACAACAGAAATGTATTCCATGTTTTGATTCGGATGTAGTAATCCAGTAGTAAATAGAGGAAGTATTCTAAAAGTGTTATATTTTTAAGCACTCACCTTTTCTTTTGAATAAAAAAACATGAGTAGGGGGTGCACTGCTGTTCTTTATCTCTGTAGCATGTCAAATTTAGGCTCCGTTCACACGGCGAATTTTCCACGGGAGAGCCACGATTGAACGGAGGAGTTTCCGGGCGTGATCACACCACAGCATCTGGCAAGTGGAGCGCACCCATGGCATACCGCCGAAAATGCGCAATAAAAAAATACCCGGTCGGAGGTAGTAGCAACCGGTTTGCAACGGGCTGCCTCTGGACTCCCTCGGTGTGATCGTGCCGGCGAGCCACTTTTCCCTTCGGCCCCTCGTTGACACGCAGGCGCGGAGCGAAGGCACCGTGGCATGCCACCAATGCATGGGATCGCGTTCTGGTGCATTAAATTGTGGCGCTGTAAATAGCCACACCTCCCCCCGCGTTCTCCGGCCCATGTGACCGGGGCCA